TCATAAAATGAAGCTAAAAGGATTTGCACTCAAAGTAACTATCAGGCTGTAAAATATGAGATAATAATAATATACTTATCTTACCCATATTAAGCATGATAAATATTTCCTGACTGTAATGACGATGTGCTTAGCACATTGCTCTCCTTGAAATAAAGGTGTCATGAATCTTCACAGAATACGATGACTAGCACTGCCTTCTGTTCACGCTGCTCTTCCCTTATCAATGGCAACACCAAATGCATTGATTTGTAGCCTCTGATATGCCGTTACTTTTAGTTTATGTTGTGGCTACATAAAGGCTTTGATGCCTCCCTACTGCATGTACAGACTTTTTATTGCCCATCTGCTGAGGAGAATTGGACAAAGAACGTGAATAACATCTGTGCTCTCCTCATCACTGACTACCTATTTGACTTCTGGATATATTTTGAGGTGTGATTCTGATGACTAAAGCTCAAAGCAGCCTGCATTCTACTTGGTTAGGCAAGTCTTCTTCCTGTGTTTCACTCCAGCAATTAAAAATAACTGCTATGCCTCTCCAAACAGTTCCTGTGATTGAGGGGTGAGTACAATTGTGGAACTTCACACTTTGGAAGTGACCACTGCTCAGCTTTTCTTGTTCTCCAAGGATCTTAAGCAGGTAATTTCTAATATTTTTTAGGGCTAGAACTCCCTGTTGTTTTATTTTACCACCCGCTCCTTTTTCTCATTGTAAAAGTTGCAGGGACCAGTATTTTTTCAACGAATTAAAACTAATTTCACTTTGAATAAACTGGAGGAATTAAAACAGATACCTTAAAATAACTAAAAGTATCACTATGGATATAACAAAAAAAGTCATGCAATATAAGTGCTAACAGTCTCCTCAGAGTAGTTCTCAACTCTCACTGGAGTTCTGCAGCATCAGTGCCTCTGGAATAGCCAAAGCAGCCTCAGGTGGGGACGAGGCCAGACAAGCAAGGCTCCAGCACTTACCCATCTATCGCCATCCTATTTAAACCACGCTCACTTGACTCTGACCTGATCTACAACAAAAATGAGTTAAATGACCTGACCATACATAAGCAGATAGCCTATTTGGATTGGACCTGGAAGGCAGTTCAGGTGGAACCTAAGTACAGCTGGGCATTGGTGCTACATTGCCTTAGGCCATTCACTCTTCCGCTCTCTGGATGATTCTATCACACATATTCTCTCTCCTAAAACTTCCAAACCCTCCACCCTCAGTCTTAACCTCTGCTGATAACTTTATTTCTTGTTGGAGAAAATAGAAACAATCAGCAGAGAACTTCTAGCTGGTCCCAGCACATCCACCAACTTACCTCTCTCTCTCTAACTTCTATGCCCTCTTTCGTCTTGTTACTATGAAAGAAACACTTCTCCTTTTCTTAAGGCTTACACCTCCACTTGAGCCCTAGATCCCATCTTCTTCAGTCTACTCAAGCACCTTCCCCCTTTATATTATACTTCATCAATTTTTTTCTTCTCTAGGGTATCAATCCTATCTATTAGCATATGAACATAACCTCACCCATCTTAAAAAATAAAAAGTCCCATGCGTCCCTACATTCTCCCTCCTGGCTACCATCCAATTACAACTTTTTATAACAAAACCATTTTCAAAAGTTGTCTGTAGTCTCTGATCTTAGTTCTTCTCCAATTACCTCTTAAACTCACTCCAATAAAGCTCATTTTCCTACTGCTCCACTTTAATAACTTGGGCCAAGATCACCAATAACCAACACACTATCAAATCAATGTTCAATTTTCAGTCTTCATTTTACTTAACATATCCATATGTTCAACCTGTTTAAACATGACCTCATTCTTCAAAGATTTTTTTCATTCCCAAGATATTACTCTCTCTAGGTTCTCTTTCTAATCACTGGCTTTCCTTTTCAGGCTGGTTCATCTTTATCTCCCTTACCTCTGAAATAGAGTGACATGGAACTCATTACTCAGATATCTTCTCTATCTGCATCCAATTCTTAAGCAATCTCATCCCATTCTATGCTTTAGATGTCATTTATATGCAAAATATTCTCAAATTTATATCTCCAGCCTGTACCTCTCAACTGACCCCAGATTCTTATATCTGACTGCCTACTCAACATCTCTACTTGCATATCTCATAGATGTCTCAAACTTAATGAATCCAAAACCCAAACCCCTTTATTCTACCCCTAAAACTGCCTCTTCTATAGTCCCATCTTAGGTACATGTTAACTGGACATTTTTCCAGTTGTGCAGGCCACAAATTTTGAATCATCTTTGACTCTGCTCATTATCTCATGTCCTGCATTCAATCTATCAGTAAGTCCTGTAAGCTGTACTTTCAAAACGTATCTAGAACCCAATCACTTCTAACTCGTTTCACCATTATCTCTTCTCTGGATTAAAGCAGTTTCCACTCTTTCTCCCATCTCTCTAGTTTATCTTTCCCATATGACTTACTGTCCAATAATGAAAGTTCATTGCTTAAAACCTACCTTAGAGGCTTCCCATCCTCCTCAGAATAAAAGTTAAAGTCCTTGCAGTGACCTTCGGACTCCACAGGACTTGGCATCATTGTCTCTCTGACCTCATCTACTACCTCGTTGTTCTATTCCTTACTTTGGTTCTGACCATATACTAGCTTAGACACACCAGGCATGTTCCTGCCTCCTGCCCTCTGTATATGCTTTTCCTCCACCTGAAAAGGTATTTGGAGGAAGAGACTTTTTTTTTCCTGATTTCTACTCAAAGACACTCTATAAGAGAGGCCTTTCCTGACCATCCTACATATGCAACACACAACTTTATGACCCTCATTCTCCCTCACTCCCCGTATCTCCCTGACCCTGTTTTGTGTTCATCATGCTCACTGTCTGACATATATTAACTGGTTTATTGATATGTTATTTGCCTTTCCTCCTTTAGAACAAGTTCCATGGAGGCATGTACTTTAGTTGGTTCACTCCTGTGTTCCAGCTTGTCATCTAGACAACTCTTTATGAGAACTTTCAGAAAAAACGGAAGAAAGCCCACAAGCAAGACTTCTAATTTCAAACCGAACATCCAATTTGCAAGCTGATAACAGTGAAACTGACCTTTTATCATGCGTTTTTTTATGCAGGAGACTGAAACCAGGGGGATGGAAATGAAAACTGGGCCACACCATCACGCAGGCACACCTCTCTAATATGCATGACCTATTATACTCAACCACGTAAGGCAGATGCTTGGCACACACTTCAGGGTTCAGCCCAAAACCAGTTACTCAGAGGAATGAGAAAAAACAAAAAACCAAAAATCCCTTCTCTCCTTCCCTTCAGAAATAGAATTTAAAGCAGTATGAGGAAAGGGAGAGATAGAAAGTAGAATAATTTAAAATGCTACCGGCTTTCATCTGTTATATAGTACATCTGGAAATCTGATTTATATCTTATAATTTCAAATACAACACTCAAGGTTGTAGTAAACAATCCTTAACTTACATATTTTAGGCTCAGCTATATGATTTATCTTAACAAATTGTGCAGACAAATGCATTAGTGGAGCATTAGAAGAAAAATGTAGCAAAACTTGCCCTCTACCAAAGGACATTTGTTTCCATACTTGTAGCAAGGAGATGATCTCTCAACACACACAAATCCAAAGTATCCTCGTTTGCCTCCAAGTCTGGAACCTTTTCGGTGCTTGTATTCACAGCAGGAGCTTAACCTATTCACCTGCATCCCATTGAGGAAAAAGGTGAGACTGAAGGGGAAACCATGGTGCCTTTTGGAAATAAACTGAAAGGTCTCTGGAAATAAAAAAGAAATATATTAGTGGAATCAACTAACATCTTCAAAGTTCCATTTTTCTATTAGATAAGTACAATATTATGATCTAGATCGTCTTTTAATTTGAGGACAATTGTTAATCATAAAAATGTATTCTATTACT